TAAGGTTTTAACGAGTCACATTATCTGTTGAATAGACATTCAAGGTGGAGTGTTATAAATAGAATTTTATTTATGGTGAATGTCTATATTTAGAGAGATTCTAGGGTTTATTACTTGGTGGCTAAGTCACTCTCTCCTTAAAATAGAGAGTTCTATTCCATTGTACTTCACCCCCAAAATTCAATAAGAATTCTTTCTCTCTTTCTCCTGCATATTATTTTTTCTACTCTTATTGTTTTATAACAATTTATGTCATTTTCCTAAAACTAATTATTTATTAGCCGCTAAACAACATCATTCTCTTTCTCTAATTAGGCTAAACTAAGGGTGTGTTTGGTATAATGGAAAATGTTTTTTCGAGTTATTTTCTTGGAAATAAGTAGTAATCTTATTCATTTTCGGTGTTTGGTACGCAAATTAAAGAAAATGACTTCTCAAGAGTATTTCGTAAATAATTTAGATATAATAAACATGAAGCCATAAACTTTCAAAACAACACTTCCGAACCCACATTTTCATAAACGTTTGAACCGCTAAACTTTGGAAACCGCGGAATTTCTAACATGTAACTTTATAATTTCTAAACCCGTAAACTTCCAAACACATAAACCTCCGAACTCATAACTTTGGAACTTGTAAAATTTTGAACCTTTAAAATAGATAAATAAAAAACTAAAACTGAAAGTAAATTTCTTTTTGTGCGGGGGGGGGGGGGGGTGGCAGTTGGGGTTGGTGGTGCAGATTAAACGAAAACAGAAATTTGAAATTGCAATAAAAAAAATAAGGTAAAAAAAAATAATATTTTTTGTGGGGAGGGGGTGGGGGTGGGGTGGGGTGGAGGGGTAGTAGGGTGGATGGTAATGGAAAAACTGAAATTTGAAAAAAATAATTTTTTTTTGGAGAGAGGGGGTGGGTGGGGTTGGTGAGGATAAGGAAGGTGGAGAAGGAGTTTTGGAAAAATATTTTCCTTTCTCTTGATAAAAGAAAATATTTTCCTCCAATTGGAGAAAATGAGTTGATAAGAAAAATATTTTCCAAAACATTTAAGCCAATGAAACATGAGAAAATTGGAAAACCTTTACCAAACACACCCTTATGGGTGTCCAATGGGACGGGACGATTTTAACGGACGGGACGAGATTTAGGCGGGAACGGGAACGAAACGGTCGTCCCGTCCCGTCCCGCCAACCAAACGGGACGGGACGGGTCCGCGGGACGGTTCGCGGGCCTTAGTGTATATTTTTTTAAAAAAAAAAAAATTCTAGTTTTTTGAAAATTACTATGTTTTTAAAGTTTGCAACGACTAGATTTTTGACTTATTTAATAAACTTAAATATTACTATGTTAAAAGAAAATTAGAAAACTAAGTAAAGAATTATAAAATATTAAAACAAAAGTTGTAATGAAATAATCTAGTAAATATAAATTTATAATAGAGTTATAATTTATTTAATATAATTTCAAAGTATTAACTATTAAGTAACACCGACAAATCATAAAAATAATTCATCTCTTAGAGCCATTTATTTATTAATAGAACTTTCAAATCTCAAATACAAATACAATTCTTTTGAAGAGCACCTAATCTACGCAGCCACCTTCTAGGAAGGGTTCTGTTTGAACTAGGCTCTTAGTAGCCCAATTACAAATTATCATACTATATTTTGTAAGCTCCTATATAACTCTTTTTGTAACTTATTCAATAATATCTCTTGGACATTCTACTGGAATTGGCAATGTGATTGATGTTCCATGAGCTCCATATGCATCATCGCTCCCCAATGGTAAGTATCTCGTTGTATTCTTCTTCCTCCTAGTGGATAGTTTTTCAAAACCAAGATTCTTTCTTTCTGAATTAATCCAATCTCTGAATAAGACGGAAATCTCTAGACTGTCCTCCGCTAATGAATGTCTATGATCTCCAATTTGAAATCTTGCCGCGCTAAATGCACTCTCCGATGCTACTGATGATGATTGAATAGCCAGGATATCTCGGGCCATAATTGAAAGTGTTGGAAAAGCCTTGCACGCTCCTCCACCATGACAAAAGTTGTTCCTTGCCTTCTTCGTCTTTAATATTTTCCAATCCTTGATTAAGATAAGAATCAAGTTCATCAATAAAGAGGAATCAAAACCTGTTATATCATCCATATCTTCCATAAAACTTCTGCTCCACACTTAGAAGTAGAAGGAGCAGTTTCAGTACTAGTTGTATCCATAGATTTATATTTATCAAAACATTGATCTAGCATAAAAATATATGCTAGCTTGGCAGTTTTCGAGAGATGGTTCTTCATGTTCTTGAATTTCTAAATTCTCATAAATTTTACGAACAAGACCCTTTGCACCTCTTAGTTTTAAAGATGGGTTAAGTATGTGTAGAAATTAAATAAACTTCGGAATAGGGAAAAAAATACTTTTTAAATTTTTAAAATCATTTCTTTAATGGCTGGTGCATAAGTTGGATTTTTTTATACTTACCAAAATACAACAGAAATTCCACAAACATACCATAATATTGTGTTAATAGTAGGATAGTATATACCAGAAAATTGTTTTGTAGGCATAATAAAATTTTCTAAAATTTAGTAAGCTCTCTAACTTCATCCCAATCAGAATCAACAATTTGATCAACAGGGTAAGCATTATGCATATTAAAAACTTTTTGGATGGGCACCCGATAATCATAAGCAACTTTAAGCATTTCATAAGTAGAATTCCACCTAGTACAAAACATCTTTTGGAACTTTTCTAAATGGAAGGTCAGCACTAGCACATTGTTGAGCAAATTCACGAATTCTACTTTGTTTATGAGCACGAAAAATATAGCCAAAGCATGTTGTATTTTACTAAAGCATTCAGAAAATAAATTAAGACCATCTTTTACAACCAAGTTAAAAATATGGCATGCACATCTAACATGAAAAATTGTTGGATTAATTGGACAAAGTCTTGATTTAAAGCTATTTGCCGCGATTGTGTAACAGAAGCATTATCTAAGGTGATAGTTAGAACTTTATTAATAAGCCCATAAAAATCAAGTATTTGTAGAAACAGTAGTTGCAATATATGCTCCAGTGTTATTAGAATCAACAAATTTATAACCAATAATACGTTTCCAAGTTCCAGTGATGATCAACCCAATGACACGTAATAGTTAAATAATCACAACCATTAGGACTACGACCTATATCAGATGTGATGGACACTTTACAATCCAAGTGATAAAAATACACAACGAATATACTGAAGATATTCAGTCTGAAATTTAAAAACATCATTCTAACTGTGGTCTTGGGAAAACCTTGAAAAGCAGGGTTATACATTTCTTGAATATAATGCACAAAAGCAGGGTGAGAAGAAAAGTAAAAGGTAAGCCACAGACCGCCACCATTTTTGCTAAGTTCTCACGATCTCTATCTTTGTTATATTTGTGTAAAATATGACCGGAAGCAGGGTCAAAGTTTGTTGTTGAATTTGGTTAGAACCAGATCCACTAGGAGTGCCAGTACTAATGGTAGGATCTATAATTTTTTTCGGCTTCTATGTTAGCTTTTATCCATAAATCTTTGTGAGCACTTCTCAAGTGTCTAGTTAACCCCCCCCGTCCCACACTTTAATGAGTGTGCAAATTGTTTGCTTACATTTTTCAACAGATAGCACGATGATTTATTATATCATGTTTAAAAAAATTCCATAAGTGATGTTTTGGGACGTTCAACCTTAGTCTTACCCCTTACAGGGGGGTACAGGGGTAAAAGCTCCAGACTGAGATTACTCTGAGATGGAGCTTGTGTTGCGGGACTAGTGGGTGTTTCGTCTAATTTCTTCTTCCTCATTTTCTTCATCCTCATTTTCTTCATCCTCAAAAAAAAATATCATTGCCAAAATTGTCTTTGTAAAAGTTTCATGATCTAATTGTTCTCCGACATGAACATCATAAAATGTGGGGGGGTTGGGAAAATGAAGTTTCATCAACAGAGTCATTTCATCAATATTTCGTTCGAAACACTAGGGGCTATAGGAGAAAGGTTAGGATTAGGATTACTACTACTTTCAACTTTACTACTTTTTTTTATTACTTTTTTAAACATACCAAATACATTTTTAAGGTGCCATTTTTTAAATACGAAACTAAATTTAAAAACTAACACAAATACTACACACAAAAATGAAATACGAAAAATATAACACGTAATGTAAACACAAAAATTAAGCACTAAAATGATACGCACAATTATATATTAAAATTAGGAGATGGACACGAGTGCACCGTGATTAAATAGTGAAACTTAAGAAAATTGCCCGAAATATTGCTCCAAAATACTTGACGAATTAATTTGAAGCTTGAAAGTTGCTCCAAAAAATTTGCCCAAATACTTGAAAGTTGAAAGATATCACTTGATAGTACAATATTGAGAGAATAATATAGAATA